AATTCGCTGGGTTGGGACTGTGTGGCAGAGACATCTTGCATTCGCCCGTGAATGTTGGCCTCTTTATTTATATTTAACTATATTAACTGGAGACTTCAAAGGGAATTCATCTTTCAATATATGGATACGAACGTCTGGTATATTCTTTTCTTCTGGTCAACCTATTTTTAAATGCTTGAAAATAGATTTTATTGTGATCACAATAGATGTCTGCTAAAAACATGAACGCAACATCTTAAAGCCATTCCTTATGGTTTCAGTACCATTAATATTGTCGCTTAACATTAATAATTTAAGAACCCTTTATCAACAAGAACTGCTATCTCTTTCTCGGAAACCATGAAAATAATTGTCTATTTTCAGATTAACTTAAATGAAACCATCAGAATATGTGAAACCGAAGTAATGAGATAATGGGTTGTGTACAAAACAAAAATAATTCATTGTGATTGCAATGGCTTTGAAAAGTTGTCGAATATCAGTGATTTTAAGGAATGTGTTTCAAAGCCAGATCCACAAAAGATCAACGAGCTGAAATGATTACGATCATGTAATTCAACCACAATCTAACTGATATTTGTATACTGCCATTACATAGTTTTAAACAATAATCAGGAAATGTATTTCAAGCTGAAACGATTACTTAGCCCTAAAAAGTATCGACCTGTTCACATACCATTCACCATCAGTGGGATCGATATATTACATTATATTAAGTACTTGTATGTGTCTGTCTGTCAAAACAAACAGACAAAATATATGACCAAAAACATTGGGTGAAACCACTAATTAGGGTTAATTGCAGTATTGGTGAAATTTGTATTTAGTTTTTGTGTGGTTCATATATTATTAGAAACCTCAAGCAAGTTGGCTCATCTTGTAAAATGTTTTAATTGTCTTGAAGAAAGAAGAGAGTAAACATTAGAGGACAGATATGCATCCTAATATATTCCTGGATGATGTCTTATGTGACGTAAATTATAAAATAAAACGTTCTTTTCGAGTCAATCTCACTTTCTGAAGTCTTCATGTGCTTTAGACTTCCTGATCCTCTACAATGTGTTGAACATGACTGGGATTTTAGTGATTGTGGTGGGTTTTTATTGAAGTTCTAGGCAAGGCCATTCTTCACAATAAGGCTTTTCGATAACATATTTCACTTTTCAACTTTTCTGAAGATACAAAAGTTAGCATCTGATTGTGCAAATGTTATACAAATTTGAATTTCACTAGAAGACTTATGCATATATTAGGTATGTTTTCTTCTGTGTTTTGTACGTATTGATAAATTTTTACTTTTGTAATTGAATTTGTGAATGTGATTGAGAAAAAATCTCTTTGAATAACTTGATGTAAGGGAATATTTACAAACATCTAACTTCTTAACCATTAGAGTTCAGTATATTTACATTTAACCTTCATATCTTAACCATGAATGTTTAGTGTAACGAATTACCTCTAAGTTTCTTATGCATTAACGTGTATTGATTTAGATCAGAATTAATTTTTAAGCATTAGAGTTCACTTATTTAGATCGCAACATAATTTCTGAAACATTAGACCTCAATATATTGATATAAACCTAAACAGTTCCTTTTATTTATTGAGATCTAAACAATTTATTTTATTTATTGAGATCTAAACAATTTCTTAAACATTAGTTTAGTTTATTTATTGAGATCTAAAAAATTTCTTAAACATTAGTTTAGTTTATTTATTGAGATCTAAATAATTTCTTAAACATTAGTTTAGTTTATTTATTTAGATCTAAACAATTTCTTAAACATTAGTTTAGTTTATTTATTGAGATCTAAATAATTTCTTAAACATTAGTTTA